AAATTCTAATGCGCTAACGMCTGATTCGAATTTTCTTCAACCTAAAAACATWAGCGCGTACATGTCCGAACCGATAAACTCATAGAACCCAGACGTATCGTTTCGAAGAGATTCCACCTCGAAGTCAAGTGTTGATCGTAATTTTGAYAWCGCTTTTTRGAAGGCTTAGGATCAAGAAATAAATGCAATGCCAAGTGGTACCGTTTTTAACAAAGCAATAGTTTTTCCTATCGAAGTTCCGATACCGTTTACAAAACGAGTTTCAGGCGATCTCTCATGGAAACCGGAATGAGGGAGACCAACGAWAATATACCMAACAGCAATTCAATCAAMTTCAAGTGTAGAATACCCGTAACGTCAGTTTTTATGTCATATCATTCACAATTTGTATCGCCACAGATCTGATTTAACATCTCGTAAGAAGTGCATTAAATTGAACGTCAGGATGTGCGAATTCAGACACGGATCAGCCGCCAACCGAAACTGAAATTTGGTCGTCCTCTCGCTGGCTGTTACTGTACTGCTGCTTTAACACCGTTCGGTAGGACTGCCAAGTTACGGTGTTATTGGAGTATTATTCTACTAGTGTCCATACGATGTACTTACTTCGTATTGCAATAACGAAAGAGGATATTCAGTAGTAGCTATTTTCCGGTTTCAATATCCTCAAACGGCGACACTGGTGGTGGTGATTACTAGTAGTGATGGAGAGCAGCGCAGCACTACTCACCAGGAGGAGGCCAAACTAAGGGCTGGGATAGTAGGAACTTGTTGCTGACAAGCAGGATTTTCAAAGGCAGAAAAAAATAATATTCTTGGTAACAATAGTACTACTACTACTAGTACCAACTTAATCATGTGCACTGGTAGTATTTGACAAGTAGTACTAAGAACAAGTGACAMCACAAAACAAGAAGTACTACTAGAGTACTAGTAAACATGAGTGCCCAACATCACACCTCATGATCTTTATTAGTTCTAGGAGTACTYGTAGTACTAGTAGTACAAGTATTATTTTGCCTATTCATGAACATCACACTGTAGTACAACTAGTACTTCTTGAACCTACATACCTGAACATCTGAAGCAGCAGCAAATATCTATCCTGCTGATGCTGACACTTCATAGTAACAACAACAACAAGAAGTGAGAACAAAAYGGTCACCTAGTACAAGAATATCTAGTATTCCACCACTGTTACTATTAGTAACTGTTCTTCTTGTACCTCCTCCACCACTCCTCCTCCTCATACTCTTCATATTTTCTTAATAGTAGCTACAGGAGGTAATGGTAGTTGATGTTTAAAACAAGCAATGGTATTGCATCACAAAACAATAAGTTTTGCTTGTTCATTACATGCATTCCAAGATGAGGATGTGTCACAATAACAATAYACACACCCTGTGGTGACTTTGTCAGCTCCTCCATCCTCCCATTCCCAGCACCAATAAACATCTAWCACCATGGACTTGATTAACACCAGCATTTAGAAAATATCATTTAGAAGGCTACCAATATCAACTAGTACTAGTAGTACTACTATTTGTTCTTGTACACGCTTGGTGTGCTTCATACTAGTAGCTACTAGTAGTACACAAGCACAGTCCCCCTCAGCAATGTAACTCAAAGGATGGCACGTAGTGGTGCATAGTTGGCTATGTTAGCACTATGTTAGATTTTTTTAAAACTTGTACRAAGCATGTGGTTGAACATATATCATCTTGTTTTGGAGAAGAATTAAGTTGAAGCAATGTTTCTTTTCAAAGAAATTCTTTACCAAGAAAAATTCCAYTGGCACCAGCAACTACTTTGATGCTCATCAATAAACATGACTAGGAATGGATTCAACAATGTGGTGCGTCCCCTTCGCTAGTGTCACCACATAACGATCGCAATCCACAGCATTGTCCATTCTTTCAGAAATGAAGTCCGCCAAGAATTTTCCGTTCTATTACATGCTGCGAAGAAGAGCTCCTGCTCTGAAAACTTTGCTACATTACAAATTGCGACTACTACCAGTAATTAACGCTCCTTAAGTTAAGCATCKTCTGCCCAATATCAACAAATAGCTGGTTGTTGTGAAAACACTCGCTTTACGACGAAGAATGTTTGTCGAGTCATGGTGACAGGSTGAAACATCATCGTTAACAGACTCTCCACGTAACATAGCCATTGGCTCGCAGGACGTCGTTGGTCAAACTACTATATTCTATTTTTGTTCTATCTTATTTTCGTATCGTCGTTGCGTTGTCCGAACGGCAATCGAAATTTCCTCCTGGTCGCTATTTGGACATCGGGACCACCACAACTTACTTTGGGGTGGGATCTCTCTCTTTCTATTTTTTGGGTTGGCGTAAACAAGAGTTTCAAAAAGCCAACACCGGCTTCCCTTCCCGGTGATATTTCGCTGTCGGAGTCCGAAGARCACTCGGTGCCCGATGCGATGCTTTCGTCGTCGCAATATTTTCCGTCTCGTTGTTGCTGCTGCAACCGTATTTTGAGTTTATTGATTTCTTCTTCTTTGGTTTCGCACTCTTTTCTRTAAGATTCGTACAGCGCTTCGTTCTTTTCGGCTTGTGCCGACAAGCGCCTCATCCATCTATCYAAGGTYTCCAGCGATTCGATGTGGAGTGCCTGAATCTCATCACGAAAGAAGGGATACAGGTTGCGCTCGTATTCGCCCTCGCAGACTTCTATCTGGTTGGGCAACACCAAAAACGACCGGTGCAATGCCGAGAGGAGGGGTGTCTCGTGCTTGAYAACGTAGTTCGAGACGGGAACACCGCCGCCGGCACCCCGGTAGCCAATYCCTCGTGTGGTGGGCGTCGGGTCCCCGCCCGGTTGTTGGTCTTCGACGGGCCGCTCCTCGTGGTAGTGCCGGAGGTGCTGCCGGTACGCGGCGTTGTGGGTGCGTTCCAGCAGTCTGCGGGCGAGTCGCTCCTTCGTGCTCTGGAATACCGACTCCAGGCGCTCGATCTCWCCGGAGCGYTCCTCTTTCAATGCTGCGCGGTTCTCCCGCAGGGCCGCAAGCTTCCGGCGGAGGAGGCGGCAGTCCTTTCCCGCCGTTTTCTCGGACAGGGTCCCGGTCCATCCTTCGTTCAACTCGTTGTCTCTGAACATCGTCGCGCAATCACATGGGATGGACCGATCCTTCTTTTGTGGCTTGGTGTCGTTTGATCTATRGGTTTTGGCTCCTCTGCGTTGGATCAAACCGGACGTTTTGTTTTTCGTCTCATGAAAACGATTCTGTCGCGTTCTCGTGATTTGGAATCCCCGAAAACGTGTGGTATTGTCCCACTACCGTACGGTATGCCAACGGTTACGCGTTGCAAAACTTGTCAAAAGATGGTGGTATGTACGGAACGGTACTGTACTCAACGGTGTGGTACGGTAGCGCCAAAACTTCACTTCAGTACCGTACTGCGTAGCAATCGAACGATGATACGATGCTCAGGCACTACGAAATACAGTAAATATGTTTTTGTTCTCCCGAGTCGCGTAGMTACGAGAAAAATGTCCCGCCATCCTCGAATTAGCGAGTAACTCAAACGATTTTCTCGGTAAATGTTGCTAAACTCAAGCTTCCCGTTTTTCTCTAGTGCCCATTTGTGGCGAAGAACAGTGTTTCGGTCTTTTTCATCAACAAACACTTTCACACTTATCTTGATACTACGGTCCTGTAGTRCTGTAMTATTGTTTTACTAGGGTAGCACTGTACTTCGTACGTAAATTTCGTAACATAAATGCTATCAACAATTATCCCAGGGACGACGAAGACTATCACAACTTCGTTGACCTACTGGTAGTACTAGTACGTACTACTAGTAGTAACACATCTTCGTCACACAAACCGATATAATGGTTTCTCAAGTTTCCTGCGTGCACCAAAACAATATCCCGTGTGTGTTTTTCGATGCTCCATTTCGAATCTCATGGCACTTTTCCCTGGAACATGTTCTTGCACCCTAAGTTTCTCAGCACGAATTTCACGTCCTTTTCTGGGGTTTGTACCGTTTTCTATCTTTGTCGTTTTTTTTCCTCATCGCAAGAAGAACATCCAAAATAATATCATTCCGATATGCTGTTTCCTATATTTTCTCCAAGAATCGAAGCCAATGTATTGTTTTCCCTTTTGGTGTTGCCAACATTCTTTTACCGGCAAAGAAACTATGCCGCTCTTATCTATTCTAATCCAAGGTTTTTCTTTTCTTAGTATCACACTTTCTATTTTTCTATGACGTTCAACAAATATCTTTCGGAAAGCAATTTCTGCCGTATCCCATTTTTATTTTTATATTCCTATTGTTTGTTTGTAGTTTGTCATGAAATAATATTTTAATAATTTTCTAAATTATACTGGTGGTAGGCCCAACAATTCTTCTGCATCTTTAAAGATAGTAGTACTTGCGTCCCACACTTCTATGACATCGAACTTCAATTCCTCTTCCTGCAGTTTTCTTTTCTTTTTTTCTCTTTCCTCTCTGTCTTCACCTATGGATTCTCTGCTGTAGTAGTCTGCCATTAACGCCGTGTTTCTCAAGAAAACAAAGGAAGAAGAACAACAAGAAGAGGATATCTCCTCCCCTGCTAACACCACAGCAGCACCCACCAGCACCAGCATTCCTCCTCGTCAGAATGTTGTTAACAAGGAGAGCATTCAGAATAATTCAAGCCAAAAACTGCAGTACTCATATCTATGCAGGCCTACACTGCTAACATTTGGAACATTAAATTAACGTTCCCAATAGCAATGCCTCGATATTTTTCACTTATTGTTATGTGTAGTAAAAATAGGAAAAATCGAAATCAGATATCTAAAATCTAAAATATTTGAATTTTTCCCCCAAAATTCAAATCATGTTTTTTGAAATCGTGGATTCATTCCGCAGCGGTACATTACCTACATACGGTACACATCAACAATCCGTAATGTAACGTAAGCCACCGTACGTACGTGCCGTACGGTACGGTAAGTACGTACCGTAAAGTCGCATTGAATGACAAATCGATGCTGGTTTCTACAGTATCAGCGGATCTTCGGATGCGAGATTTAAGGAGTTCTGTTTATTCACCCCGAACTTGTTGCGGGCAACAGAGACGATAGAGAGGGCGTCGTTACCGATGTCTATAAATTGATTCCGGGGAAACGCGAGATCGGAGGCGTGTAGCTTGGATCCGAGTGGATTGATTCGAGCATCGGCGTGGCKAGAGAACGCAGCAAGTGCCGAACGAACGACAGAAACAAAGAACGAGCCGAGCCGAGGCGGAGCGAGGCAAGCAAGGCACCACACAAGAACGACCATGGCGGCGGACGCTTCCGGAACGAACGGCAAGGGAAGTGGTACCGGCAACAACGCACGCCAGGGAGTTGCCGATTACTTTGCTATCTTGGGGGTAGGCGAGGACTTGGTGTGGAGGCATGCCCAGCAAAAAGAACAGCAGCAGCARCAACAATCGCACGAAGAACCCGCACACGACGAATCGGCATCTTCCCCGGAGAGGGACGGGGCGTCGGTGTTGGGCGGACAATTGAAACCGCAAGCGCCGGAGATCCCGGAGGAAGACGACGCCATGCTGCTGGAACGCTTCTATCGAGAAATCGTGGCATGCGACATCGTGCTGGAAGACGACGACGACAACGGCAACTCTAACATTACTACCAATGCGAATGCGAATGCGAATGACAGTGCCTATTCCAATGCCCATGCCCATCCCCATCCCCATCCCCATCCCCATCCCCATGCGAACACCAGCATCGAAACCGGCGCGGAAAACTCCGCCACAAACACCTCGACGATGTCTGCCGCGGTGGCCGATGGGTGGACGGTGGTCCGGGCCACGCGGCCGGCCGCTACCGACAGCCATCCTTCCGACGGCAGGGGAAAAGACCCCCGGACACCGCCCCTGCCGAGTCTCTGGAAGAAGGGTGCGACCTGGGAGACGAACCTGGACCCCATCGACGGGCTCACGGGAGAGATTCTCCGGACGCGGCACCAGCGAGACGCGGACTACAGAGCGGAGCTCGAACGGACCCGGTCCGGAAGGGGGGCAGCGGACGCGAAAACCCCCCTCAAGCACTTTCGAAAAAAGGTCCAGTCCACCTTYCAGAGCAAGACGCAGCAGTGGATACTCCCCAGCGCGAGCATGGGCAGCGGCAGCCACAACCACAGCGAGGCCTCCTTTTTGCACCAMCCCCCGAAACGGAAACGCGGCTTTTACCTGGCCTACAAGCGGCGGAGCCCCGACGAGCCGAACCTCGCGGCCATTGCCGATCTGGCCCTGTACTACGTCCGGATCCACAAGGCCACGATCGTCGCCGCCGAGGCTTTCACCGGCCACCACGTGGCAGGCGACGGCGCAAACGACGATGCCACCACYGGGGGAAACACGACCGCAACGRTGTCGACGGCGGCAACGAGGACCACCCAGCAAGTGGCGGCCGTCGCGAGTGCGGTGGGAAGGACGGGGATCCGGGCGTCGGCGGCTCTGTTCCACGCCGGGAAGCAGGCCGTCTCCGGCCGATGGAACGCCCACGGCAGCGGCAACCCCCCCRCCSACGATCCGCGGTCAACAGCCGGTGCAAGCGCRGGTTTGGGTGCCGGGATCGGTGSCCCGCCACCTTCCGYGGAAGGAGGCGTTCGGCCGGATCCCGACGAATACCAGGAAGGCGGGGAGCGGCGTGGCCCGCTCATAGCCCTGCGATCCTTCCTGGAGCTCCCCGATCACAACGGYCGGGGCTTCGAGGAGTGGGTCATCCCGGAAACCTACTCCTGCCTCAGGTTTCCAAAGCGAAAGCGCAGCCTCAATCCACCGGGGGAGGAGGCTTCCGAAACCGGCACGGAGGCCCACCCSAAGGACGATGCCTCCGACCACAACGGCTACCACGACCAGTACCGGCGGCCCATCCAAACCATCACCGCCCTGTTTCCGGAGGGCAACGAGAGCAACCACCCGGCGAGCAGCGGCACCGATCAGGGAGTCGAGGCGGTGGATCGCACCCCCGATCGGAGGAGGCGGGGGAAGCAGGCATCCTCGTCGGTGGTGTCGTCCTCGTCGAACACCACCCTTCGCTACAACGACARGGAAAYCGACGCCTGGAAGGAACGGCTGCTGCCGCGCATCGTCGATCCAACCGACAAGGACCTGCTGGGGATCGTCGGGGGGGACCAGGCCGCGTCCGATTCGGACCGGTACTACCGTGCCCGGGGGGAAAATGTGATTGTCAGCGGGGGCTCGGCCTCCTTTGACGAGTACAGCGASTACAACTACAACTACCATTCCACCAATCCCGACCGAGACGACTACGTCTACGTTCCCGTCCTGGCCATTCGGAGGCAGCGGGTCGGGGAAGAGGAGCGATTCTCGGAAGATCCCGCGCTGATCGATRTTTCGGTGACGGTCTTTGACGAGCGGGGCCGGCCCGTTCTGCCYTCCGAGGAGTACCAGTTCATGACGGAAGAAGAAATGATGGAAGACGAGAACGACGACGCCGACAAGATCGAGCGGAAACTCTTGCACAAGACCAAGTGGGTCGAAACGAGGGCCCGCGGCACCCGCAGTCCCACCACCGGCCCAAACGAGCCCAAGCGGTCACGGAGGAAAGACCCCGGATCGGCCGCCCGGGTAGGCGCAGCGTGCCTGATCGCGAGGCACAACGTTCCCATGGGCTTTTGCGACGCCGCCTTTTCGACCCGAGTGCTCGATCGGTTTCCCTACAAAAACTACAAGGGCCTACCGCTGCCGGAAGAAGAACTGCCCATGTTCTGCTATCCGACCGGTTGCAAGCTGTACCGAGCCAGATTCAGCGACGCACCCCTCCMCCAGTACTACGGCTTTGTAGTGAAGAACGAGCGSGGGGATTCCATCTATGTGTCGTGCGTTTCCTTCATGGAACCACTGACCAACAGGAAAAAGGAACAGCTGTCKAGATTGTCCGAAAAGAGGCGGCGCGTGTCACTCCCGCACAAAATTTACTGGGCCAGGAAGCAGCAACGAATCCTGCGCAGGCAAAAGAGGGAGCAACCCCGGGACGGCACGGCCAGCACCGCTGGCGGGGACCAGCTGTCCGCCGTGTCGGTGGCAAGCCCGTCGGACTGGATCGCGGTGAACGAGAGGGACGACCACTGGGACGAGGAAGAAAATTATCTCCTGACCGCTTTTGACCAAATGACTACCTATGAGAACAAGACGATCTGTCTGGTCAGCCGCTACCCGTATTGGACGGCCTTTCGAAGGTTCTTGTCCCATCTGCACAGCGTCTCTGGATGCTCGTCTAGCCTCCCACTAGAACGATACATCTCTCATCTTTTGCTATCCGTTCCCGTTCCAAAACCAGGTGGCCCAAACATCTTGATACCCCTTCCCACATTCAACGTTCCAATGATGATCTCATCGCCTCCCCGCAAGGATCTGCCTCTSGTCGATCTGCCGTTCGAGAGATTGTTCGCTTGCCTCGATGTCCCGACGATCGTCACGATGGTCATCGGGTTTCTCACCCTGGAACGAAAGGTCATCGTCATGTCGAAACGGCCCTCTCTGGTACTCGACGTTTGCGAGTGCGCCAGGGCCCTCCTGTTTCCCTTCGAACTGGTGGCCCCGTACGTCCCCCGGCTGACGGAACCCTTCATGTCGTGCCTGGAATTTCCGGGCGCGATWTTTGCCGGCATTCACGACGACGGAACKCCCGACGGACTCGCGGCGATCGTYCGGGGCCAGATGCCGGAAGACAGCACTATCATCGATCTAGATTCCGGAAACGTGGACTGCAGCGGGGACCGGATGGCAATACTRAACAATTCGTGGGGGGTCCTCCCGCCCGGACCGCGGTCGGTCCTSGTGACGGAAATCGAAACCCTGTGCCGGGACGCGTCCATCGTGCCCGGGCAGGAACCCCTGGATGGCGTRCTGGACCCGTCTTTCGCGGCGTCTGCACCCACTAGCATGGTCCAAGACGATCTTATCCTGAGCAACGAAGACAAAGAACCGCTCGACGACCGGGCAGTTCGTGATGCCTTTCTTCGATTCTTTTGCTCGATTCTCGTCGGGTACGAACGCTTTCTGGTGGTGCCGGACGTTGACTTTTTGATCAGTGGCAACGAGTGGTTCGACGCAAAGKGGTTTTTAGATGCCGCGTCCGAAGACAAAGCCGTATTTTTGGGATCTCTGGTTTCCACCCAGCTATTCCAGTCTTTCATTCAGAGGCGAACGGAAGCCAGTGACGTCCATCTCTTGCTATTTGACGAATGCCTACAAGAGTACCACTCGTCTCCGGTTCCGTATGGCAGACTTGGCGGTGATGTGGAAACAGTTGTTAGCAAAGAAACGGGAAAATCTCATATGCTATACAGTCTTCTCGTGGACCAGGCTGCCGAAGAAGCCCGGAGTGCCGTTTCGGTTGTTCGCAGTTTTGACGGAGATTCTGGAGTACAAGGCAGCGATGCGGACAATAGCAGTGGTTACAATGTGAACARGAGCGTCGCTACGGAGGTGGCAGAATCATTGGTGAAATACTCAGAATTTGGAATCAACCCCATCGGTGATTGGGTCACTTTGCCGTCTCGACAGGACATCCCGAAGGATGCTTGTTTTACGTACTGTGTAGATGGAAACCCCACGTTTCCAGACAAATTGAACCAATGTTTTTACGTTCCGAGGCAACCAGAATCCTGGTTGGTGGAGATGTCAACCAGCTCTACACCTATGCTGACAAGAAGCGGGCCAGAAAAAGACGAGGCAGAGCGACGCCGCAGATTCTCGACAAGCTATCGAGGTCTCCACAGCCAAAGGAGATGTTTGTGGCAATTACCGAAGTTGATGGGCTCCCATTTCTTAGGATCGTGGCTTCTGTGCATTCCTACTCTGGTGTCCCAACCAAACATCTCCAACGAACGCCAATCAAGGCATCTCCTTCGAGCGTTCGGAGCATTACGCCTTTTACGATCGAGGCAAAAGATCATCCCGGACGAAGCTGCATACAGAGCACTCATTGTGGCTTGCGGGAGGACGAAGAACGATCGAAGGGCAGAACTAGTCAAGCTGTTCGGACATCTGCGTTCCGACGGGATTTTTCCCAGCGCGGTCACGCTAGGGCAGTACACACGCGCTTTAGCAGAGGGGTATTCCAAGCGGGCGGTGGGAATAGCAGACGATGATACCCATGTTGGGGGATTCGAAATGACAGAATCAACGTGCGGGGACTTGCCATTAGGGCCTCGAAAGAACTGCGAAGCCATTTTGAATAGTCTCGATGAAAGCCTTGCTACTCTCGAGGAGTCCGGTCGTCGATGGCGACAAAAGACAAACAGCAACAAAAACAATGACACCATAATTGAAAATCCGTCGAGTTTGGATCTGAAAGCAAGCGATCGACCGAGAAGCCGAAATAACAGCAAGTACTGGCTTCCGGTTTTACTTTCGTCTTCTTTCATTGAAGCGAAAGTAGACGAATCGGTTCGGAAGGGAATTTCGAACAATGTTGGCGACGTACAGTTGACTGCAATTTGGTCCCGCACGGTGGCCTGCAAGGAATGCGGATACATTCCATTCGAAGAGGAAGTCCAGGGAGGTTGGGATACCATTCAAGGCGGCGAGCATGATTTTCCGGGAGCCGTAAGCTGTGCAAGATGTGGATTTCTGCTCACCCCGAAGCTTGCGTACAAGAATATCTCGTTACACGAAGCTATCCAACATCCTCAAAATACTGAGGGTCTACCTCCGCAAATCCGACCGACTATCGATGAAAATGACGATGACGTATCTCTAGTGCCATATATTTGTCCTTCGTCCCTCAGAGAAAAACTTGAACAAGTTGTGGACGAGCACGGAGAACAAATCCTCGATAGGGAGAAGCTTCGCAAGAACTACCCAGATATTTTTTATAACTTTTGGTGGTATTGCGCACGATTTCAATTGCCATTGCCCCTTGCGGTGTCTGCCAACGACGGTGGCGATTCCCGGCACTGTTGTGCCATCGTTTCATGGTAAGCTCTCACTGCTACTTTTTTGGTTGCCCATACAAAACAGTCGTGAAGCAGCATAAGTTTTCTCACATGCTTGCTTTTCTTCATTTTCCATAGGGATCGGCAAGTTGCCATGAGAGGCTGCTACAGCGCCGCCAAAATCCTCCTCGATGCGTTGCCATCAGAAGATGGGCAAGCTCCTGGTTCCGGTGAGTCAATTGAATCCATCGACGATTTTCCGCTYCTATCCAAGTTCAATCTTTCGGGATATTATTCGAATGTTTGGGACCACCCCGAGCTCTCGGAAATCCTAGTCGCACTGGTACAGGCATGCGACAAGCGAGACTTTCGTCCCGTTGTGGAATCCGTTCTCCGCCGGCGGGGCGACATCGATTGCTACCGAACGATTCTGTACCTCGCGAAATACCAGTGCACGAGCGCCTTTCACGCCTTTTTTCCGGCCACGCTGAAACCCTGCAAGGGGTACCACTTCTGGTGCCCGATGGTCCCCCTGCCGATTTTTGATCGCCTATTTCGGGAGGCCGTCAAGAGGGTTCGTGCGAACAACACCGGGATCCCCCCCATCCACGAGGTGCAGGAGGTCCCCCTGGCATTCCGCTCCGTGTTTGGACACTTRATGTGAAAGAACGAAAGCCACACTCCAGCTGAATGATTCAAGACGAATCGCAAACAGAGAGAGAGAGTTGTTTGCAAAGGTTGCGATGCACGATAGAAACAAAACCACGGCGATGGGAAATGCAACTGAGGACGAAACGCAATGAGCCAAGTTGGCTTCTATGATAAAACAATAAAATTGATTCTGKGACCTTCGACAAATACTGTGGGTTGCATCAAACCATGTTTCGACACACAATTTTTTGCATGCGATGCGTACGTAAGCACAYCGTACACTGTTGCAAGAATGYATGATCTGTCGATAGACAATARATATGCAAAAGTGCTTCAGTTTGATGATTATCATAGCAAAATTATTTGAGATTTATTCGTTCGGAGCTATTATGGACTTTAGACCGTACTCTGCACGATGATGAATCGGAAGGAGATTGCCTTATTCGTTTGAAAAAACAACAGAATACGCACGGGTGTTCTTCTCTCGATTCGCCATGGCAATTCGTTTCTTTCACGGGTCYRGGGATCTAGCGAAAAGCCATTTCGTTTCGAATTCGTGGTGCTATTGACACTGGAAACACACGCATTGCATTCCACCGATATTGAGTCGAGTGAACCCATTCATCCTTGTGCTCTCTTCCACCCTTTTGTGTTGGTATTGCGATCAGGGAGCAATGGAAGAGACCGTGTGCCGTATCGGTCGTGGTCACAGAGTCGCACCCTGGTTCGGTCCGTCGTCACGCGGCTCTCAGGGGGCGAGTTTCTGGACGGCGGGTTCCTTGATTGTGGCCTCTGCCTCGGTGCTGTCGTCCTCGTTCAGGTCGAGGTAGACCCKCGCGGACTCGATTTCGTCCAGCTCCGTCTCGAGGTTTCTCTTGAACTCCTTTGCGTGCTGCCGGACGGTTTCCAGMRCCGTGCTGCTGCTCCGGATGTTGACGTCGACCGTGACCGAGTTCTGGGAGGTGTAGTGAACGGTGACACCCTCCACGTTCCGGACCCTRGGGTACATSAGCTGCGCCTGGTTTCGGACCTGTTGCTCGATGTACGAKGTAGAGGGCATTGTGTTYTGCGCATTCGCGGCCCCCTCTCTCGAAAAGGCCTCGATCTTGGATCGGAACTCGTCGATGGTGACCATCTCTTCCAGGTCGAGGTACCCGTCCTTGTTGACGTCGAATTCCTCCAAGAGTCTCTGGACGCGCTCGTCGCTGAGCTGAATATTCAGCGTTCGTTCCAGTCCCAGCTTGAGCTCGTCGATGGTGAGCTTCCCGTCCGAGTCCCTGTCGAATTTTTCAAAGGCGAGCTTGGCAAACGCCGATTCGTCGTGCTCGTAGTCGTCCATGCGGGGCGAGATTTCGAGGTAGGGTTTCGCGCTGACGGTWGCTATRATTCCCGCCGAGGATCCCCGGTTGCTCCCCCGCCTCTTCGCCAGTTCTCCGAGGAGTCGCTGGCGAACCCGTTCCTCGACCGCACTGGTAGCCGTAGTGCTCAGCACGGAAGGGATTTCGACGACAATGTCGACGGAGGCCGCCGATCCCATTTGTCTTGCTCGGACGCTCGTTGTACAAATAACGTCGTCGTCGTCGAGCTCGTTGAGAATTTCTTGGATTTCGCTCTGCAGAGCGGAGTCGGCGCTGTCGGACAACTGCTTCACGGATTCGACCAAGATTTCTCCCCCCGTCATGCAGATCATTCCGGCCACCAGGCTGTTGCACCGCAAAGTTCCCACAACATCGAGTCAGAGAGGCAAACRCGCGGRGATTGGGAAAAACAAAGAGAAGAAAARAGAGTGCCAAACAAGGACAAACGAACACGGATGAGTGAGTGTTTTGTSCTAGATCGTGTGTCGCGCTGCGCTGCTTTGCGTTGCGCTGCGACGGCGTCTGYATTGGGTCCTGCTACGTACATTCCCGCGGCGGCATCGGCCGCCGGAAATCCCATCATMGCCCAGGCGATGCTGAGCAGGGCCAGGACCGACGAGTATGCGTCGGAGCGGTGGTGCCAGGCGTTGGCAATGACGACGGGGCTGCGCAGGCGTTCCCCGACCTGCTTGGTGATGCGAAAGAGCCACTCCTTGGAAAAGATCGAGGCCCCCGCCATCAAGAGGGCGAGGGGTCCCGGGATCTGCACAGCGGCGGCACCGGCTGCTTGGGTGGACGCCGATGCCTGCAGGACCTCCATGAGCTGCTTGTTGGCCATGAGGCCGACGGACCCGCCGGTGGCCAGCAGCGTGAGGGAGAGAAAGAGGGAGCCGATCGCCTCGAACTTGTAGTGGCCGTAGGGATGGTCCTCRTCCGGGGGCAGCCGGGCCACGTTGACGGACCAGAGCGTGATAAAGTCGCTGACCAGATCGGAGAGGGAGTGGCCCGCATCGGCCACCAGGGCACTCGAGTGCGCCGTGATTCCGATGCAGAGCTTGCCGACCGAGAGGAGCAAGTTGACCGCCACRCCGATCCAGGTGACCCGATCGGCCTCGGCCTTGTCYGCCGCCGAGGAAAGGGCTTGCTGGTGGCTGTGGTCGTGGGAGGCCTCCAGCGACGTCGAGGAATGCTTCCGTATGCCGTCCACAAACAACCGGAACCGGTCCACGGACTTTTGGATCGCCCGGGTGATTTTGTTGGCCGACGTCAGGGCGACGCTGGTGACGACAAAGGAGATCCAGTCGYTCTGGGCCAGGCCGACGAATTTCCGGTTTGCCTCGAGGCTGGCGCTCGCGTTCGCCGTCACCAGTTTGGTTCCGCACGTTGCCACCCAGCAAAAGAGCACGAGGGCCAGCTTGCGGACCACGCGCTTTCGGTCGATGGCTTTCCCTTCGCTGGAGTTACCGTGGTGGTGATCGTGCGAATGGGTGTGGGAATGCGAATGCGAATGCGAGTGGCTGTGTCCCATGTGATACAGCGCCGTCGGAGAAACCGGTGGAGGCCGGAGGAATCGTCGGTTCGATCCGTTCCCGTTTCTCCCGGAAAAGGCAGAAGCGGAAGATTCCGGAGCTTCTTGTTGTGGCAGGGCGGAGAAGGGTATCCTCTGGGCGAYCGACTTTCCCATAGGGGGGGCGTAGGCCGATGCCGACAGAGGATTGTGMACGATGGCTGCCAGCAAGAGCAAGCAAGTCCCGGCACCCATTTTCGCGGGAGCAGCGGYTGTTGTCGTCGTCGCCGCCGAAGCCATGATCGTCGTTGGTGTGGATGGATGGATATCTGTTCTCGTCGTTGCAATGTGCWGCGTTGCGYTGTGTTGAGCTGCGTTCTCTYCTATCTCTGATCCAGAACGGTCRAAATAAATTTTGTAGGGAACAAATATAGGAAAGAAAATCCTACCGTTTGGTGCTTTCTTTCTTTCTTTCTTCTCTTTGTGTCTTTGGTATCTTCGGTGGTGAGTTCGCTACAGTGTGCCAGTAGCGTGTTAGGGTAGCATTTGTTTGTATTATTTATGACTACTGTTCGGATTTGTGAATTCGAAGCCTCKTTCACAAGAATGGAGTGAGCAAGTGAGAACCCTTTCCAAAGTGTCCGTTGTGCATGGCCTTGCTAGGGTTCAGCCAGCCAACGAAAGGGCGCTGATGTTCGTTTTGCACGCTTCACGCCCTCGAGAACCCCATCTGCCGATGGCCCATCACGCACTAGACACGAGTTCATACTGTATCGTASGCGACGACTACCGTACCGTACRAGCAAAAAAACAGCACAACACCGTACGGAGAAAGGTACGTACGTTAAGGGAGGATAATCTTCAACGAGTCCTTCTTTGGACGTTTTTCATTGGTCAGAAAAATCAATCAACGCGGGACAGAGGGAATTCTGACACAATTGGTCGGTTGAGTCAGTTTCTAGATCTTTTTGACATACATATCTATCTACTGTACTAAACATAGCATCATAAAGACCTTGTGTACCTACTGTTCTAAATCGTTACAACTTTCGGTAGTAGTAGTACTAGTAGTAGTAAGGAATAAGGAATCCGAACGTGTGTAGCAGCAACAATCCAATACTTACAGTAACCTTACGGTAAGATGCTAATGAATTTGATAATGTACCGGTAGGCAATCAAAGTACTGGTGCTTTCAACGCTGATCAATTTTGACACCTGCTTCCTATGCCCAAGAATTCAGACCACCACATGAACAACCACAGAAGCCGGTGTCAACAGAAAAAAGGATTGTCGAGTGATGGCCAAAAACCGAAACCAAATTTTGGAATGGGCATCAGTGACCTTCTTTCGAGGTTCGAAGCTTCTTTGCTGCAACTGCAATTCAAGTTCGTACGTACGAGGCGACGATCCCTTCTTTGGTTTGGTGTGCGTGTTTTGGGACTGCTGTACTACGGCAGAAATATGAACAAGAAAGAACAAACGAAGCAGTTCATGCGCTCGTACCAGCGTTTCGTGAAGCATTTCGAAAAAGATCTTWAGGATTCAGTCTTGCGCGACCTGAAAAACAGTGGGCATAGATTTCTGACACACTCTCACATAATCCTCCTTGCCATGCCTTCCCAAAACAAGGTATTAATGAGGCGAAAGACCCGTTTTCMACGTGCTGCTTCGGTGTGTTGGCGTCTGAAGCACGTGTAGAACATTCCTAGCGACAACACACATGAAATAGACGACATTTCGATGCGAGACTACGACCGTTTTCTGCGATTGCCAAATACGTACCTATGTCACGGCGGTACAAAGGGATGCAAGGCAGGCGAGGCTAGGCGAGGCGACTTTCATCTCTCACCCCCGAGAAACCGAATAGAGATTCCCCCCTGCGGCACGGCACAACAGGGTTTCGTACGATCGGAACCGCCGCTTGCCGGATCGAGGACCACGCCACCGACAAACCGAGAGAAAAGGTAGGTACCGTACCGTACCAGCCGGCCGATTCGATTCGATTCGATTCGATTGGACTGTACTGGACTGGATTTGTTGCCCTGCGCTGCACCGCCGTGCTAACCTTCCGCAACGCACGCAAGAACCGCCTTTCGGTTGATCGGGCGATTCCCTGCCGATATTTCGTCGGACGTGTGCCATTAGCAATTTTGAATCTTGCTTTTCCTACACTTAAAAGGCTCGGCGGTTTAGCACGTCGCCCTCTCATTCCACGATCGGTAGAGGAGTGATAAAACTATTCGAGCACAACACCGGTGCGGTGAAACCAACTTCAACCACAACAAACAGCGACGTCTCACCGATCGCATCATTTATTTCTCAAACAATAATAATACAATACCACACTCTCGATCAGTCCTCACAAATTGCATCCATCGTTTCCAAACAAAAACAAAATTGAAGCAAGTAAGTTAGTTAGTCAGTCAGTCAGTCAGTTAGTTACAGCGTAGTTTTTCTTCTTGGTGCATAAAGCCAATGGGTACAGCCTTGAAAAGCGCCGGTCCGAAAAGCAACACGCCCGTGGACGTTTTCCTTTTTGAGGGCTCTGCATTGTATTGGAAGGGACTGATCCTCGGCTCTTTGGCTACTTGGCTACTTGGCTGGTTGATTGGTTGATTGGTTGATTGGTTGGTTGATTGGTTGATTGGTTGATTGATTAAATGATTGATGGATTCCTAACACACTTTTACTTTGTGGCTTGGGTTCCGTTGCACTCGACTGTCTTGGTTGTAGATCCAACAGAGAAAGAGAAAGACAAGAATGGAATCACCACTACTTAGCTGCAGCACCAAGAGTGTCATTGCTGCCTTGCTTTGGCTTTCGTACATGGCTGGTTACGCTGGCGCTGCTTCCGCCTCTATGCACGTCCATGCCCGCAACAACACCGGCAGCCACAACGAAAACAACTATAGCCACCTGAGAAGCGCAAGCTCCCCGAACAACGCTCCCTCGCCCGCCGATGACCAKGGCAGCAGCCAGCTAAACGAGCTCAAGGAAATCGTCTTGTTCTTGTCCGAAAAGATGGACGATGCCGATCTCCGAATCAGATCCCTGGAACAAAAGATCAAGGGACAAGAATCCGTCATCGAAACCCTGAAGACGGAAGTGAGCGAGGCCACCAGCTTCCACCGATCTCTKCARAGCARCAGCAACGACTGCGCGCCAAAGTTCCGCCTGACTCCCTTCGGTCCGCGCTGCGACTTCCAGTACGTGACGCGGTTCCAGAACAAGACCTTCTTCAACGACGACGCCGTCTTCAACGAAAACGTGGAGTTCGACTCGGATTCGAACTGCATGCCCGTCTTCAACTCGACGACCARGATGTGCAGCTACAACAACAACATCACCTTTTCCGACGGTGACATCAACTTCGACCGCGACGTYCGGTTCAGCGACACGGTCAAGTTCGACGACAACGCCTCCTTCCGGGACCACGTCGAGATGAGAAGCGACGTCGACTTCAACGGCAGCCGTGGAAAGGTGAATTTCTACAAGGACGTCAAGTTCACCGAGGACGTCCTCATGAAGAACGACGACCACGACATCGAATTGAGACTCGAGGACAAGGTCAAGGCTAGGTTCTACCAGGACAGATCYATCGAGATAGATACCCACACGAACTTCTACCAGGACGTGGATATGAAGAAGAACCTCGAAGTCGACGAAAAACTCCGAGTAAAGAAGAAGTCCACGCTCGATGACCTGGAACTCTACGGCTACCTGTGGGTCGATGGGTACACGAAACTGGAGAATACACTGGAGGTAAAGAARCAGTGCACCATGAAGGACAAGGTGAAGATCGAATCGGGAGGATTGGAGGTCACCCAGCACGGAGCMTCGATCAGCGGCACCACAAAACTGACCGGAATACTCAACCTTTATGGAAACGGATTTGTCAACCAAGACTTTACCGTAGACCAAAAGTTCCAGGCYAGTTCGGTTCTGATCCAGCCAACCAATGCTCTTCAGAGAAATCTTCAGTTCCAGCCCGCACCGKTGCCGGCACCGGCGCCCCTTTTGCAGGTGCGYGGCAACGCRAAGATCAACGGCGAGCTCGTCGCAGACAAGATMCGAAGCGACGACATCAACGGAGACATCGACGTCATGGATATCTACAACAAGATCAAGGTCGAAATGCGAGACGATACGGTGGTCTTTGGAGACGTGCGCATCAAAARCAGCTTTAGCTCGGAACAGGTCCTTACCGGAACCCGCATGAYGGACCAGATGCGATCCGCKAMCCTGAGGGTGGCGAAACTCRTCRCAAACGAAGCCGAGGTCGGTGGCCAAGACATCTCGGGTTCCGGCGGTTCCATGACTGGCAACGAAATCGTCGAAAAACTCAAAGGAAAGTCTCTGGTAGACCTGTTGTCGGTCGAGAGCTTAACGATGTCCGCCAACTCAGCTACTATTGGCGGTAAGGAAATTACACCAGAGGGTATACCAGCCGATCTCGATGATGTTGTGACAAGACTCCAGCTTTACGAAGGCGAGATCACGCTTCCGTACTTGAGCGCACACCGCCTCAACATGTACAATATTATACAGCCACCGCCTGTGCAGAATATTATTCCYGCGAAAATCTTGGTCGACGGCGTCGATGTTGCACTGCAAACCGATATCGAAGAACTCGACAGAAAGATTGATGCTCTCGACACTTCTTCTTCAGTCAGCGTAACGAACACAGGCATGACACAGGATGAAATCGTCGGTGTCTTGGCTGGAGCATCCCTTTCTTTGAACTCTTTGGATGCCTCTTCCATTTCGAAATCTAGTGCGGAACTAGCAACCATCGGCGAAGTGAACCAAATGGTTAGCGATGCCTATGTCCCTAGGGACAGTGCTGCTACGTCTTGTACGTGCGATAGCGCCTCGATCGAAGACTCGATTCTCTCCAAGATTGACGCAAGTTATGTCGAGGACCTGGGTTTCGTAACCAACACCGACATTTCCGTGCTTGATCTTGGTGGCGGTGGCGATTGCACCTGCTCACAAAGCGACGTCCAAGCGTTCATCGACCAGCCGTTCCTCGAAGCACTCGGTGTTTCCTTTGGCTCTGGTGAACCACAGGGCTGTGGGTGTGCGGCGGAAGACATTCAGAACGCCGTTGATGCCGGTTACATCCAAGGTGTATTGGACAACCTTGGTATCTCGGGTGGTGGAGGAGASGCCACCTGCACGTGTTCAGCCGACGACGTCAGAGCCGTGGTGGACTACAATTATGTCTCCGATCTTGGTTTCTCGGCCGAAGCGTCCGAGTGCACCTGCGATGTCGAAGGAATTGTCACGAAGGACTACATTTCCGGTTTGGGCTTYCTTGACTCGTGTCCTTGTGATGATGTWTTCCAGTTCAATCCTGATGAGAGATAAATGGCAATGAAGAGTGTTCGTATATTGGCTCTATTTGGTATGAAATCTTCATTTAAAGTTTCGTTTTGGGACTTACAATCTAAACGTCGATTCTCAAACGCGTTTGAAGACCGAGAGAGAAAACTTATATACAATGTAGACGAAGTGGTATTCATAGTAGAAAAGTAGATTTAAGGCGTGCACATCTAGAGAATCGTGGGATTCCCATTCCTGTTTAGTACATTCAAAACAAAAGCGTTTTTACCGTGTTTTATTTCCCTCCGACCGTTGGTTCTCAAAAGTAGGGAGACCGAGAAAGAAGCAAAMAAACTTACATCAATAGTTGCATTGTCAAATTTTAGCTCATCACAAAAACATTTTCAACGTCATACTTCCCGTCACCGTGACTGCTCTACGCGTTGGTATAATTTACGTCCTTTTTAATCTCCAATTTACCTCCCTGGAAGGAAGTTTGCGTGTTGCGGAAGAACACTTTCTTCGGTCTCATCCAAACTTCCTTCGATCTGAAAAATACTTTGGAAGGATTGTTATAGTAGTGATTACCGGATTGGTACACAAAATTGCTATTCATTAGGCATTGCCCACTCGTGCTATTGTAAACCGGCATGCAGTCAGCGTCTTGGTCGAAACCAACATTCTCGTTGAATTCAACATCGTCGTTGAAAAAGGTAGGACTTTCAAACCTGAAAGCAATGGTGTCTGTATTTCCGAAGATGCATCTGTTATTCTCAAAGACGGGCATACAAGGAGAGGAATCGTTGTCCGTATCCTTTTTGCTGTTGCCCAGGAGTGATACAACTGGGCGGTTTGTAAGCGGTCCGTTTGACAATTGGAGATTGCGTTGTTCCACAGTACGAATATTTTGTTCGAGAGACTGTATTTTCTCGAGACCGGCATCCAAAGCCCCTTCCACTTGAATGATTTTATTCTCGAGTGTGATGATATGGTTTTCCATGTGGAAAATTTTTTCTTGATCATTCCAGCTTGCTTCCTCCAAGGCTTCGATCCGTCGAACTAGATTCGAAACAACCGATCTTAGGTCGCCAGTCACCTCTTCGTCGTCAAGAGAAGACCTCAAGTTGCCAGTACATTCGTTCACCTTTACTGAAAATGTGAGTATGTAACACGATAGAAGCAAAATCTTGGAGAATTTCATCTTTGTAAAAATCCAATGAGAGATATTCTGTMTTCAGAACGTAATCGTGATTGGCAAAAAGAAATTCGGGATTTTCATGTAAATGTAAGAAATGAACAGGGCAGTGAATTGTCCTGATCCAATATGCCACAGAAACTTGAAATAAATATCTCTTATCATGCCCTTATCTAAGCTCCAGGATTTCCGAAAAAAATCTATGCACTACATAGCGAGAATCAGCTCTACAGGTCGTCTCGTACCATCATCAATTAATGCAACAAAGGCTCATATTATTGCAACATACCTTATCGAATCGATATTGTCAAYGTTCAACAGTCAAATTCAATATTATGAATTTATATTGTATTGATCTGCTCCCGAATCTTCATGCTTTCGGCCACTACGATTCTTTGTTTCCGCTCGACAGAAACCGCTCGCACCTCTCTTCTGAATTCGAGATTTTTTGATGGAGACCCTTCACGTGTGAAGGAACGTGTAGCAACCATTCTACATGTGAAAAAATAACAGAAAAATATCTTTTTTATGTGTATTGTATGTGTATCACAATTACCGATTAGGGTTGGGGGTTGAACGTCACAGTTTAATTTAAGAGTAATGTTCCCCTCGACCACTTTGACTGSCGTAYGGGTTTGTACCAGWACTTATTCTTCGAGGATGACAAAATCAAAATCCGGAAAATTAGTCTGGATATGTCCTCAGAAATACGAAGACTACCGGTACGAWGTCTTGAGGCACGATGAACGTCTCCATATTCAATAGCTCTACCGGTACCGTACGGCGCAATTCATACTTGACCGGTCGAGGTAGTTAAGGAGATGGTTGGAATGAAAATGACCAGCCTTTGTTCTGCTTCTGGGGAAGATATTGATGTTCCGAAAGACTTGGAATGTTTGATATGTGGGGACTTGCTTGAGAATGCGGTTTCTCTTCAAGCTTGTGCCCATACCTTTTGTTCGGTTTGCTTCCGCATTCACTACCGTGAGGCGAAGRAAAAACGATGCCCCCTATGCAAAGTATCAGTCGGGAACGATTTAAGGAAAGCGTTGTTGGTGAATGGAGCAGTGCAAAAAAGAGTGAGGGAATTCAAATCCAAACATTCAATATTGCAGCCGTCGTTACCGTTCCACGATAAATTGCCCAACGCACAGGAGGCGCCGATCCGAGAACAGATGCAGCGAAGGAATTATTCAATGCTACTAAAGCATGGCAAGAAAGGACTTCAGAAAGTTTGTAAGGAATATAGTTTACCGACGTCCGGAAATGAGCAAGAGCTTGTAGATCGTTTGCGATATTTTCAGTGCATGTGGGATGCCGAGCTTGATACTATATACACACCCTTGAGACCATCCGAACTGGTTGCCAAATTCAAAAAGAAAGAGAGACTACAACGAGAAGAAAAATCACGTGCTATGATGACCGGGAGTATCAACGACTCGAAGCACATGAAGAACTTGACCTCGTCGCTACTTAATGACAACACAAGAAAAGACCAGAAAGTTAGGAACGAGAGGAAGGTCAGTGCGACGAGTAGTGGCAATGCACAATTCGATATCAAGTTCAGAAGCAATTTCGAAGCATTAATTGCACAAGGACGCAAACACATGAAGAAAGGACCCGGTTGCCCTCGCCGAGTTTACGACGACGATAACATTCATGACAATCCAGCACCAACAACGAACTCTCTCGGAAGCGATAACGAAAAGATATCTCCCAATATTGATGGCAGCTGCGCTCAAATTGTCGCCAATATAAACGTGAGAATTTCGAATCGAACTCATAACAATGGAGTCACAAGTGTCGGATCATCAGTTGAACATGGATCGTCTCTGAATAGGAAGAAAAGGCCATTGGTCAGTCCTTGCACACTGGAGAGGAAAAAGAACACCCTCTGCTACACAGCTAAGGAATCACTCGGGGCATCAGAAAGTAATATCTTCAATGGGCATAGCTCAAAAATAGCGTCGAATCAAACGACGTCTTCGGGACAGCTAAGACCATCGAAATCTCAAAAGGGAACAGTAATAAATAACCCATACCGAAAGAAACAGCGAAGATCACCCTCGAAAGCAAAAGCCGACATTCAAGATAAAGGGGGGAACTCGAGTTGTGCAATCCTGCCATTTCAAAAGAGAAAATTTCAAACTTGCAACACACTGGGTGATGGCGGGAAAAGGTCGGATAGTACCGTTCTTGCGCAAGAAAACATTACTAATGGTAATACTATTGGTAGCAATAACAGAATTCACCAAAACAAAACTGATTCCASTCTCTCCATTGGAAAGGGAAGCCAGGACGATTCTTCAATAAAAACAGAGACAATACCAACTCGAAAGAAATATGTGATAAGAAATCCATACCTCAAATCGAGTGGCAAGAAGGATCGATAACAGAAAAGATACCGAGTAACGGGGGTCATTTTGATTCCACAAATGGGGCGGGGCTACTGCGATCCGACCTGGCTAGATGAGGATCTGTCTTTTGGAACATGGGAGTGTAGCTTTTTCTGTAGAAGACATAGAGAAATTAATCTTTGTAGCTGCGATGAACACGTTAATTTAAGATTGGCTTTTGTATGTCATTCGTGGGCTTGTAATAGCTCCAGAATTTTTCAACAGGCAAAGGCTCACGCAGTCGGTTCGAATACGACGTCTTGATTTTTTATAGCAATCGTAGAATCAACAAGAATCTGCCTTGCACCAAACATGTCTCTTAAGTGATGTGCACATACCATTTCCATCCAGAATGGGAAAAGCCAATTGTTGTGCTCATGCTTCGATTACGTTGCTGTTGATTCTGCTTGTAATTATTGTGACAGTATTAGTAGTGTTAGGCCACATGGACCTACCTTCACCATTGACACCTGATTCTTGACCCAGGACAAAGAGAATAGGCCTCTTGTCGGAGCAACAGTGCCGGTAAGTAGTCACAGATGCAGAGCGTCTCGTGATCGAGTGGTGCGTTGACTACGATACGGTATGATGCCGATAGTCGTCAGTCGTTCACACTGTTTACCATAGGTTAACTGCTAGTAGTAGTATCTGTCAACAGTATCCACTAGTATTCTCAGTCGTATTCAGAATACAGTAACAAATAAGGCTATGGATACATACATACCTATTTTAAATACGTGATAATCATAAGAAACGTATGACTTCTGAATGACGTCAATCCATCGACCTTGAAACAGACTAGCCATCAAGCCTGATGAAAAACTGCATCATCCATTTCTCAAATCAACGATTATGGAAGGAATGAAAAACTATCAGCAACAACCCAGCAACTTACCGTACCTTTCCTTTCGTCTCACAACTCTTGAATCGTAGAGTTAGAAGAAAAAAATACTCTAACGACAGAGCAAATTTCCAAAGGAGAATCATCAGAGAACGAAATTTAGTATCTAAAGGTCAAAGGAAACAAGCAAAATAAAAATAAAATGTTTTCGTCCCAGATTTTGGTATTTGTGTTGGCTACGTCGGCGTTGCTGCACCCTGCCCAATCCTTTGCGCCTCCATCGTTGCTATCTGCGTCTTCCAAAGCCTCTTCCCTTGTGTTAAATGGGAAGAAAAGCAAACGAAAAGGTGGAGGCGGTGGTTACAGTGGCGGCGGTAAGAAAGGAGGAGGCCAGCAGCCACGTCAAGAAAAACAATCTGTCCAAGATCAACGGTTTGATGCAGCAACGAGACAATTCATGTTCACCCTCAGTGGATTGTCCAAAATGCTACCCGACAAGTCGAAAAAAATTCTCGATAACATCCATTTGAGTTTCTACCCCGGTGCAAAGATCGGTATTGTTGGATTAAACGGAAGCGGGTGAGAACAAAGAAACACAAAAAATTGTTGCCGAAAGGCAAAGTCGACGGTGACGGCCATATCTTTTCCTCCCTCTAATTCTGAAAATTCTTCCTTTTTTTCTACCATACACACCAACCTACAAAATWTATCAAAATCAATGGATGCAGTAAATCGACTTTGTTGAAAATCATGGCTGGTGTCGATACAGAATACGATGGCCTGGCAAGGCCACTACCAGGTGCTTCGATCGGTTACTTGGCGCAGGAACCAGTTCTTGAGTTCCCAACCGTACAAGAAAACATCGACGAAGCTATGAAATCTTCGCAAGCAGTTCTCGATGAATACAACGAGAAGAGTATGAAACTAGCAGACCCCGATATCACCGACGACGAAATGACACAAATCATGGAGGACATTGAAAAACTGAATGACCAAATCGAAGCAGGTGATATGTGGGAACTGGATCGAGTTGTATCGAGAGCGATGGATTCTCTCAGAGTACCACCTGGCGATGCTCTTGTTGAAAACTTGAGTGGTGGAGAAAAGAGACGAACAGCTCTGTGCCGCTTGTTGCTTGAAAATCACGACATGCTCCTACTGGACGAACCGTAAGTCATCTACTCTCTATTCAGATTGCRAACCATTGAAAAACGGCCCGTCGATTTATCTCAATGCACTTATCTCTGCTTTCTTGCATGCAAAGAACAAATCACCTCGATGCCGAATCAATTCAATGGCTGGAAACATATTTGGATAAATTCAAGGGAACCGTTGTTTGCATTACCCATGACCGATACTTTTTGAACAATTGTGCCGGATGGATATTGGAATTGGATCGTGGAAAGGGATATCCTCACGAAGGAAATTATGAAACTTTCTTGGATATGAAGAACAAACGCCTTGAAGAAGAAAAGAAAGCAGAGACCGCCGCAGCCAAGGCCGTCGCGAATGAACTGGAATGGATTCGAACGAATCCTAAGGCCAAGGGAAACAAATCAAAAGCTCGCCTCAATAGATACGATGAATTGCTATTGGCAGCGGCTCCTACAGAGCTACGAAATGCTGGTCAAATCTATATTCCACCGGGACCTCGATTGGGAAATGAGGTAATTGAGGTCACGAATTTGAAGAAATCTTTCGGCGATCGACTCCTGATCGACGATTTGAGTTTTTCGTTGCCGCCGGCAGGAATTGTTGGAGTTGTGGGACCTAACGGTGCGTGGCTTTGTTGGTTTATATTTGGCTGCAGACTCATGTTTGCGTGGAATTATCTAATCTTCTTTGAATATTGTCTGTCCTCTGTTTGTGCTATCGTTTTTGCATTGCTATTCTGATTTCTTCAATTTTGATTCGACMGAAGGTGCCGGAAAGTCAACTCTCATCAAAATGCTCACCGGATTGGAGGAACCGGATAGTGGAACGATCAAAGTTGGTGACACAGTAAGTTGCTTTAGAATTTTATTTTCGCCCTTTTCCTCGAAACGAATGATCTCATTAGAACTTTCATCTCTCTGTCGTWAGGTGAAAATGGTTTCTGTTGGTCAGGAACGCATGGACGAATTGGACTCGTCAAAGACAGTTTTTGATGAGATTTCTGAAGGTTTGGATGAGATCGAATTGGGAACCTCATCAATCATGTCTCGTGCGTATCTTTCGTGGTTCGGCTTCAAGGGACAATCCCAGCAATCAAAGGTAAGGCCAATAAATGACTGGCAACTACAAGTGGATTAGCTAGTTTTTTGTCGCATGTTGTCTTTTTTATGATCTCAACAGTGTACCATTGTTCCGTTTAATTTCATTACACCTGTGATGCTAATATCGCAGGTTGGCAACTTGAGTGGAGGAGAACGCAATCGTGCACAATTGGCGAAGTTGATGAAGGCGGGCGGAAACTTGGTAAGGATGAAATACGACGAGCTTATAGTGCTTACAGCATTCATATTTCATTGTGCGTGCTCGTTTAACTAGTTTTAAAGAATGGTGCGCTCAACTTTATTTTCTTGTGTTTTTCATGGAACATACTGTTGACTTCAATCATGACTGCATCAGATCATTCTCGACGAACCGTCTAATGATCTWGACGTCGAAGTGCTGAGAAGTCTCGAGGAGGGTCTCCTCAATTTTGCAGGAAGTGCCTTCGTTGTTAGTCACGACCGTTACATGCTCGATAGGCTTTGCACTCACATMCTGGCGTGCGAAGGAGACTCCAAATGGCACTATTTCCCGGGCAACTATGCAGAATACGAAGAAGACAGAATGAAGCGTCTTGGTGAAAGCAGTATCAAGCGCATCACCTACGCTCCATTGGTGAACTCGTGAGGTATTTCTTTCATTGATGTATGAATTGGAAATAGGAAATGTTGAAACTCCAAATGATTTTTTACTCGTACATCCATATTATTTTGTTGGAGAAAATCGTTGCCAGGCAGTTCAACTAGTTTTCGAACACAATGGACAATCATTGGCTACCTGGTACAAGCAGTATGCGATACGGTTATACTATTCGGAATTTACTTCCTAAACAGACTTGTCCTTTCGAAAGATATTTCCTCTGTCCAAATCTCCTGGTAGCTTCATCAAACGATACTAGTTTGAAAGTAGATGTGTTAAATGAAGTCTAGAAGGACTAAACAAGTACTAAGAAAACGAACCTCTGAAAAAAATACGTAAATTTGAATTTAAATAAATTTCGAAAACGAAATTTCGAATCGAAATTATTGTAAATCAAATACGAAGAAAAGGGACAATCCCGCGTTAACCTATTGCTACCTCATCGATATCATTTCAGTGAATTCATTTCGATAAAACTAACCGCCATTGGTGTTAGAAACCGTCACGATGGGAGAAAACAGTGTGGTTCTTAACGTTTACGAGCTTCCTATGAGCATCCCGGACGATGCGCCTTGTGCTTCCATCACGTCCTTTTTTTCTCGAATTCTCCCTTCTACTGGATTCGGTGCATATCACACCTCTATCGACGTGGGTGATAACACATACTCCTACGCCGTTGGTGGTATCAGCAWAACGTCGGTCGCCAACAAACACAGGGGGCTACCACCCGAGGCCAATTTCAAAGAATCCATCGTCCTTGGATGTGTTTCGTCTTCCACGACTGATTCACAAAGCGATATCGAGAGGAACATTCAGAAGTGCCTCGACTACCTGCGAAAGAWTTTTTTCACGCCCACGGGGTATCATCTGGCTTATCGAAACTGCAACCATTTCTCGGAAACGCTCGCTACAGCATTGGTTGTGCCAGCGGCCGACTTGCTGCGAAATCGAGCCCTGAAGTCCTACCCGGGCTACATAAATCGATTGGCACGAACCAGTCGCATGGTTCTCGATGAAAGTGCGGACAAGACAGAGGGTACGACGGGGCCGTGCGATGTCATGAAGGAAGCAAAGGCGTCAATGGGAGTCAATGAGAATTTGTCATCAAAAAGCAAGAAGGCTGTTTCTGGTGAAAAGGAAAAACAAAGAAAACAGAAGAAAGAATTGACCGAAGCACAGAAAAAGATTTTAGCCAAAATCAAGAGTCCCAAGAAGTAGGTGCAGAAAAATCGAATTTTTCCTATCGTCCTTATTCCGATCAAAACAAAACAAAAGAAAAGGCACACCGTGCACTCATTGCAGGGAATTTTCGTGAAAGTAATTATTTATGGTTCTTGGTTTATAGTTATCTATACCAAAGGATTGGAGTCTTTTGATTGTGTGTAGCATGTTCAAAATCATATGAGTTGCGAGAGTTGTGGAAGAAATYTGGAACTTTGCAGAAGGTGAATTGATAAAACTAATTGACCAGATCGTTTGCAACCGATTTCGTATGTTGCTACTATTTTGGCACTTGTACGAGTAGTACTAGTAACTGTGATTTTCTATGGGGTTAAGGTCACRCACAAAGTGTCTAGCAAGGTGGTAGGAGCTTCTATTTAYTGTGGTAKTAGGTCACGCACGAAGCGTCTAGCGAATGAACTAGTAGGGATTGGAGTGTGGGTGTCGAACTCATTCCAAGTATCGAATGATACTGGTAGGACAAATAGCTTTCACCAGCATGTACGAGAGTATGCATTAAGTTCACGCATGAAACGTCAACTAGTTAATGAACTGTGGTCAGGGGCGTGACTCTCCGCCGTTGTCAAAGAAATACCATGGAATGAAAGAATTACCACGCATAGTAGGCAGTACTAATTTTTTACTCCTATCGGCAAGAAATAGTAGAACAGTCCTCGACAAAAAAAAATTCAGTAAACAACAAGAATGCAAGGTGTCCTGGCACATTATTGTAACAGTCAAACTACTAYATTAATGATAGTAATATTACTAGTGGCAGCAGTACATTGTTGCACTAGTGTTAGTAGTAGCAGTCGACTGTAACGTAATGTTTTGTAATTATTACAGTACTACTAGTAGTACTAATTCAATTGAAAACTCGAAGTTTAGAAGGATTTTGGTAGAAAATCGTTACTGTACCGTACCGTATGTACTACTCGCAATTTTTTATCTGCATTCAACAATCAACTACGATACCGTACAACTAACGCTACTACGGGAAGATACTTTCATCATCTTCTTCCTTGAACGTGCGATGAAAAGACGATGCCTGCCAACTAGAGTAACCATCACAAGGAATTTTGATGCACGTCATTGTTGTTGCAATTTCTTGTGAACACAGTGACACAAAACAGGAAGAAACCATTGCCCTCTCTTAATTTTTGGTAGAATAATTCGCGGTCATGACCAATCGTTTCACTCTGCAAATAGGCCTGCTCGTCGCCGTCTCTTGTCTATTCACAAGCGCTTGGATGCCTCCTACGACCAGCAGGACGACACGACGGCTACTGACGAAAGATCGTTCTTTCGCATCCCACTGTATACATCTGAACCTTAGGGCCAATGAAGACGGACCCACAGAGGACACCGAAGACGATGAAACAAAAAATAGCGATGCAACGGCCAATGTCGAATRGGGCGTCTCTTACATAGGTGGAGACCCCTGCGGATCAAAATACAACACCGATCCCTTCGATAAGAACCCCTCCGAGAAACCCGGAATGCCAGACGATATGAAGGCAAGGATCGAAGCATTGGCACAAAAAAAGTTGCGAGAGGAGAGCAAATAAAGCAAATCTAATTTAAACGAAACGACAACAACAACAACAAAAACGACAACAACAACAACAACAACAACAACAAAAAGCAAAATGATTTCCCTCCTGGAATGGTAGATGTCATTCCATAGCATGCTGTTCGTCTAATGTTTCCCGGTAGGCTTGTAATACAAAACGTACGCCATATTCCAGCAAAATATCTAGTTACTGTTACAAGTCGAGCTGATGTTGGTTTCAAATAAAGCTGCTTCCGTGCTTAGCTCTGCAAGAAACGGCAAAAAATGGCAAAGTCTATTCCTATGAAAAGCACCCTTTCACCATGGTCACTCTCGCTGTCGTATCCCGGCACTCCCAGTTGTTGGCCAGTGGTTGATTTATTCATTAGTGTCGAAGACAATCCTGCGCGTCGACTCTTTTCACAGATACATCGAATACGAAGTATGGAACAAACTTGTCCACCGAGTCACATATTCTAGTCCAKCGAAACCCCTAGTTCCAATCGATTGTTATGTTCATCGGAACTCGTTCGTTTCTAATGACCATTATCGATGTATTTCGAGTTAACGTCCCAATTTGTCGATTTGGAGTTTCAATCGATCCGACAACTTCGTTGGTTTTCCCTGTTTCTTGTTCCGGATGGATACTTGTCGTTGGCTCTCGTTTGTGCCTGTGATGAATAAAGAAAAAGAATAGCGGTGAGAAGAGTGCGCAACGACTGTCTTCGACAAGGGGAACACAGAGCCATTCGATTCGTTGGGGTAGCTCTTTGTACGGGGTAAGTACCTTTTTCAGTTAATTCCTTCAGATAAAATTTCGTGTGTCCATTGTGTGCCTTTGCCGCAATCAATCTCTCGTTCTTCTTGTTGATCATTTTCGTCGCCTCTACGATCCCTTTGTTTCGTGTCTCCACCTTCGAGCCTCCCTTGTTCTGTTTCTTGGCACCTCTTACATTCTTTCGTCGCTGCGAACCGGCAGATTTCTTCCGAGCTCCGGTTTTTCCAAGTTTTCCACCTCCTTGTGCCATTTTTTTGCTGCTATTKTACTTATTTGTTGATCTGAATCTCTCTGCTATGGCAATTTCAACTTAAAGAAGCTATTGTGAGAAGCCGAAGAAAGAAGGCTTTCTTTTTTTCTCTTTCCGCTACAGTTGCCCCCCCGAACGGGTACGAGTTGTAACAGAGGCAATCGTGAGAAAAAAATTCAACTAATTTGAGCGAGCTGGTGGTTGACTTTCGTGCTGATGATGCTCGTAATAAATTTTCGAATTTGACTCATTCGATCGATCACGATTTATAGGTTATGGGTCTATTGGTCATGGACAATCAATCACGAATGAATAAAATCACTTCCTTTGACAACGAACAAGTTGGGTAGACAACAACAACCACCAACAAACCCGCTTTTTGCGCATCTTTGTTTCTACCGTTCTTGGCACCGCTGCTGGTGATACCACAACAATAGTTCGAACTCCTTGTTGTCGGTGCGATCGGATCAAGACCATTCTAGTGGCATTTTTCATCTCGTCGAACTCTCCATTTTTTAAACSKATTTTGAAATGATTATCCCAGTTCGCTGTTTTACTTGTGGCAAAGTCATTGCAAACAAATGGGAAACTTACCTGAGTTTGCTTCAGGCAGATTTTTCTGAAGGGTACGTTTGGCAACAGCAATGGATGAAATTCATTTTGTTGAATGGGGTGGAACGCTGTATCATTCTACTTGGATTGCAACGATGAACTTCAGAGCGAAGTTTGTGTCGGAATGGGAAAACGACGAATAGCAGTGAAGAGATACAGAATGAAACTGGGATCCTTTGTTTTCTCATACAATGCCAAGGTTCTATGCTTCGAAACTTCCCCCGGTATGAGAATCAAAAACTTTTTTGTCTTGGAGTTGTAGCTTACAAATATTTTTCTTCCTTCGTCATTTTCGAAACGAACCTCTTGGTTGCGTCTATAGAGACGCTTTGGACGAGCTCGGTTTGAAAAGATATTGCTGCCGTCGAATGATGTTGACGCACGTCGATTTAATTGAGAAACTGCTTAACTACAATACAGAAGCATCAGAAGTTATTGAGGAATAATGAAAAATTTTACATAAATCGCAAACAACGGGAAAATTGATTCTTGAGGGATAAAAATGGAAAGAATAATACTCGGACATGCAATGACCACAACTTATGACGAGTCAGCATCAAGAGCGAGGCAGAAGTGCATTACATAAAATGAAAACAAAACAATCAGCAATAATTATGGGAAAGGACAAAAGTATTGATGGGATGAGTTTCGAAATTCAATACGAATATTTAGGATCTACGTAAAATTTTACGAAAATAGGCTGCGATATAGACACACATCGTCATCAATCGTTGTATTCTATCAAGCTGACGATCTGGATGACGGGAACAAATATCATGAAAGAGAGTGGTGGTAGGTGCTCGTGATTTTTTGCTATGGGGAAGCCCCTTTCACGTAATTGAGGCGCAATCCAACATCAAATGCTAGGAGGCTCGCGAATTCAATATTTATCTTCTATTATTTGAAAACATGTATGTCTCTTTTAATGAATGCATAATATCGTCCTACCAAAGTTGCGTCAAGCGATGTCTTGCTCTTTAAAAATAGAATTGAGTGAACCAAAGACTGGTGGATACCGGCCTTCGCGGACGATACAAAAGAAAAGAAAGGGAGCTACTTACATGCTGCAAATGTCTTGGGACAATAAACTGTT